ATTTAGGGATGACAAAATTTTTAGAATTAAGGGAAAGCACTGGAATCCAAAATTAGGGGTGGCAAAAATTTTGAGCTTAGAGAAGCGCTTACCAACAGAATTTAGGACCCGTCGAGACTGCATCACACGGTAAGATACCTAGCGCCATCCCTTGATAAGCCTTAAGTATATGCGGGAATTTATTTATTCAGGACTTGGAGCATGTAAATAACTACCGTATATGACAGCATATAAGACACACTTTTTTCCCTAAATTTGGTCTCATCCCAAGAAAGGTACCTGCGGTCTTATACGTGAAAGTAATTGCATTCAATAATTGTTTATTTGGCTTTTACGAAACGTGAGAACTAAAAGAAACCACGCTGTTGAAACCTTTTTACTTCCTTGTACGAAGTAAAAAGGAAGTATTGTAATCGCGAAAAGATTCAGGCAGCATATTTCAACGAAAATATCCATTTTGACCGCTATCGAATGCAATTTAACGATGTTTTTGCATGATATCTGTACGTAAGGACAGAATAAAATACTCTTTTCCTTCAAAAAAATGATAAAACTGCTTCAAAATTAATTCTGAAGAGAATTTTTTGTGGCGTCTGTATGAACGTATGTACGTACGTATCTCGCATAACTCAAAAACGAGTAGCCTCAGAACGTTGAAATTTTGTATATAGGACTGGTATAACATGTAGATGTGCACCTCGTATTTTGGTTGCAATCGGCCGCACCAAACGTATATAAATATATTTATATGTATATCCACTCTGTTACTCGGCTTAGTGATATCAGTTTCTTTACTCTTATATATTTGGAAATTGTACATTTTTTGCTTTAAAAATGATTGAATTATTTTGCTTTTATCTTCCGGTTAAGAATTTTATCCCCTTTAGTAAATCTGTGTGCAATACTTTTAGAATTATCAGCAATTTTAAAGTTGTTTAATTGCCGCTAAGCCTTTTTTAATGGCGGCCATTGATGTTTACATTTGAAACAGGAGACTAGTGGATTTGTTGCCAATCTAGAGAAACTTAGCTTCACAACAACAAAGATAACACATTCATTTATTATTGCCAATTAAATCATGCTTAATTCTTTCTGGAATTTTTTTGAGGAAATATGTGTTTAAGATTTACTTCGTAATTTTTAATGTAGATATTTTGAGTTTTTGTGTATTTTTGCCTTCTTGCGAAGTGAGAACTAAATTAATTAAATGAGAAATATTCAATCATCTGTGAAAAACTGTTTCTTTTTTGTTTTGTTTGCTTAATTTCTTTTATACATCATTCTAGCTTTATTATAGTATTTGAATAGAACATGTGGCAACGATTAGATAATTCTATTCTTTAAATGATATAAATTTTGTGCATTATGAGTTATAATATGAACGAAATATAATTCTGTTAAGTAAACCTAGCGCTAGAGTGTCGCTATGGTAAACAAAGTGAGTTTTAAAGAATGCATTTATTCTATTGTGGTTTGTGCGCTATCGGCGAAGTAGGTTTAATTCAATCTAATAAGTTAAATGAAATGCAAGAAAAAATGCGTATAATTTAATATTCCGTACAAGGAAGTCATGTGGTGTACACATCAAATTTTTTCCTTGTGTGTGGCCATCTAAATAAGGGTGCGTCTTATATGCCGTCAAATACGGTAATTCAATTCAGGCTTATTTGTATAGCAATAGAAGCAAGAAAAAATTTAGCAGAACAACTTGTCTTTCGTCACCTATCTCATGATACAGAGCCAGTAATGTATAGTATACGCTGTTAAGTTAGGCTAAAATTATACTTTACTTTAATTCCAAGGAATTTCAATTAATATAGCAAATTGCGCTGTTCCTTAACCTTCTGATTTGATTCAACTCATTATTTTTTGCAAACTGTTATTAATACAGCAATTTTATGAAAGTTAAAGCTTGAACTTTTGATTATGTTAAAAAGAGTTTCTAATTCTGGAGTTGCAACAGGATCTACAAAGCAAAAGCATGTTTCAGTGTTCATTAAGCAAGAAGTGGAGTTGTTGCAAAAAATGGATAAAGGGTATATCTGTCTAAAAAATTATGCAAAGAGTTTGGCATTGGAAAGTCAACTGTATATGACATAATCTCGTTTCAGATTCCGGTATCACTTTAGTGGAGGAAGACATTTTCCCCTTAACTTTTTTCAAGGATCTTGTTGAATCATTATCAGAATCTTTCAGGAATTCCATTCGTCTTGGGTTAGGGTGAGATCTGGTTGAGTATTCCAAGTCTGGATAGTCACTATAATTGTCAATTGAGTCTGGTGTCCTAAAAAAGGACATTTTTTCGATTTTCGAAGGAAACACAACTGAAGTTATTTGCAGTCAAAATAGAGTCAAGAGCTAACAGAGGTACACTGTGGGTGCGCGTGGGTGGGGGAACAAAGGCAGTTCTTATATCTCCCATTGTACTGGGCCGATTGACAAAATTCAAACTGCGTTTTTCATGTCTTGAAAGTGCGACTTAGGATATATATTAGATTTATATATAGCATTGTTCTAACATAGGTATTTTGACACAAAATCAGACTTTTTCTGAAATAACATACCAATTTTTTCCATTTTTTCGATTCTGCAACTCAAATTATGCCTAGATATTAAATTTGGTAAAATTTGGTTTGAAATTTATGGAGAAATTCAAAAATTTTCTTGGTACATATTTTTCAGTTTGCACCAAGAATAATTCACTTGATGAACTTAATATGTGGCAACCAATTTTCCTTTCCCTTCCATTATGCCAGAGCAAAAAAAAAGGCACCTCGTTCCTACCTTTTTACATTGTGCATAAGCAGAAGAAAAGTCACATCATTTCTACTTTCTAATAATTTTAGCAAAGTGTCTAAACCACATTTGATGTTTTATCGCTTTTAACAAATATGCCAAATTTCAAAACGCACCAATATATAAATTCACATATATCTTTGGAAATTTTGAATAAAAAAACTGTAATTTTTTGCAGGTATGCTTAGAAATACGCCTACTTTAATATAATGGTAAAAATTTTATAGACTATAATTCAAGAATTTTGAAAAATTTATCAAAATTATTTAAAAATACAAATTTAAAAAATAAATCATGGGTTAATTTTATTTGGAATGAACCAAAATTTTGAAATGTGAAAGGAAGAATCAAATAAGTTTTAATAAATATATACCAAAATCAATTAACACTGAGGAACTAAAATTTTGAAAGCTAATTTTTAAAAACTGACTCTTTTGATTTTTACAAAACTTGGTAGTTTGGCATAATTTGAGCTGTAGAATTGAAATATGGAATAAAATTGGTATGCTATTTCAGTAAAAGTCCGATTTTGTGTCAATATACCTATATTAGAACAATCTAATACATATCCTATGTCGTGTTTTCGAGATATGAAAAACGCAAGTTGAAGAATTTTGTTAATTGGCCCAGTAGAACAGGAGATATAGAACTGCCCCCTTTTTTTTTTGCGCAGTGTACATGTTATTACACATTCAACAGTAGCTGCCCGATGTGCCCGACAATTTTTCCTGTTATGTAACATGCAAATAAAAGAGCATGGATGACACAAGCTTTAATGAATGATTGGTTTGAAAATCATTTCATACCCAAGGCTCGGCAATATTTGAATTCAGTTGGTTTACTTGATAACGAAAAAATTGTCCTGATTATAGAACTGTTCAGCTCATACATAAAGTTTCAGTGAAAGATAATGTACCCATATTATTCTTTTCTCCAATTTGTACATCCGTCAATTCAGCCTGTGGATATTGTAATAGTGTGCTTGTTGAAATGCAAATATAAAGTAGCATTTTTAAAATCCATGTTAAATTTCTTAAATAATGGTAAGAATATTGGGGAATTTTTTTAATATTTCAGCATTAAATCTGCTCTGTGAAGCAATGCAAGATTGTGAGAAAATGTGCCTCCAGATACTTTAAAAAATGCTTGGCATAATTTATGGCCAATTGCCATATTTCATGGTGAGGATGATGTAGATGATAGCCGCGAATCTGAAGGATTTCAGATTCACAAACCAAAGATGAAATTTTCCAATTAATGGATATTGTAAAGAAATGTGGAGAAGCGGTAATAATTGAAGATGATATAACAGAAGTTTTTCATTGCGATGACAATGCCCAAATCATCAATCAATTAACGGACGATGAAATATGCAGTATGGTTTTAGATCCAGGAAATACCGCTACCTATAGTGAAGAAAGTGACAAATAAATTATTGAAAAAGAAAAAAATTCAATTGACAAGTTAGTCGAAATTCTCAACACAACAGTTACAGGACATCAACAATGTAACTGAACAAGAGATTTTGTCTGTCTACATAATTAAAGAGATAGTATTAGCACAAAAAATGAAGCAACTTAAATAACTTATATTGAGAGAAATATTTGATAAGGTAAACAAATAAATATTAAGCCTTTTTTTTTTTTTTTTTTTTTTTGTAAATTTTGGTACCTTTTAGATCATAAATGCTTCATTATTTCATAAATCACAATTTTATGTTTTTAATTTTAGTAGTTCTGCATGCCATCTTACTAGATTTAAACTGATGATCTAATATCCAGAAAAATCCCAAATCCAGAATTGCCAAAGTTCCAATGAGTCTGGATCTCAAACTTTGTACTGTATTCTAAATTAGGAGAGTTTTTCTTATGATGAAACTTCAAGATTTTTTTAAGAAGTGCCATTTAAGACATATTAGTTCAAAATAAATTATGTAACAAAATTAGATTTGTTTTAAATTGTGTTAAAAAATATTAAAAATCTGTAGGAAAACAGAATTGGGTGTAGTCTTATTTATAAAAACATTGCAAATGACTTAATAATTTCATTAAAAATAATGTGTGATTAAAATATTCAGAATAAAAGAATTTCTAACTGCGAAAAAAAAATTTGAAAACACTACTTTTCCTTCCATGAGTGACAGTAAACACTAGGAGACCAGGGTATACTGTAATGTTTTAGTAAACTGAATGAACTTGACGCAGGTGCTGACTTTGATGAAGCTGCAATATTTGGAAAGCCTACTCATGCGACTCATGTCTATCTCCCTTATGTTGAGGGCCAAAACTTTCAAATGAGTAAGTTGCATCACCAAAATTTACTGTATAACTGAGAATGACAACGAAAATATATATTGCTATGTACCTATATTATTATTATCATTTAAAAGAAAAATGAAGAAATTAATTTTATTGTAAGATGTAAAAATGTATAAATTCTGCTTATCTTATAAGACAAAAATTTGGCATGAATTTTCATTTTATCACATTTATTTTACTTAAGTTAGCTCAGATTTTTTGTATTATTTAATATAATTGAGTATTTGTAAATGCTTGCCAGTTGCTTTTATCTTTAAAATTTTTCTTGATTACTATTCCTATTATTATTATTATCCTTCTCTTCCTCATTATTATTATTTTTTTTTCTTATATTTTTAATTAATTTATAACATTATTTTATTATCTTGAAATTATTTTCAAGCTAATTGAAAATTTTATTTATAAATGTGTATCTGCTTTTTATTTATTTATTAATCTGTTTGTATCATTTTCTTTCAGTTCTTTACTCTTGTTTTATATATAGTTATGTATTTTAAAAATAGGGGTGTTATTTAATCTATGGAGGAGGAATAATTTTCTTTTTTGTAAAAATTATTTAACCAAGGAGATAAATAAATGAAATGCATGATTAATAAAAATTCAAGTTAATAATATTAAGAAAATAAAAGGAAATTTTGTAACTAATGAATTCTGAATATTTTTTGTCCTCCTACCTAGCATAAGTAGTATAAAAAAAAATCTTGCTGTGATTGAATATGTATTTATCGTTATTATTATATATTATATACATGACAAGAAGTATCTATAGCATAAAGGTAATATAGAACTTACTTAACTTCTAAATTTTATTATAAGAAAGAAAAATATATTAGTTCATAAGTTCATTACACTCTTGCTTGCTTTGATGTGTTATTGCTATTAGTAAAATTTCTTTTTGTGATTTGCATGCTGCTTGCTTAGCTTTAGACATGATTTTGAATGCTTAGGTTTAATAATGTGTATGGAAAAATGTATATGTGTATGCTTGTATGTATAAAAAAGAAGAAAATTATTGCAGTTATTTGCTGGAATTTTTGTATCTTAATATTTGCAATTATATTTGTGTGACATTATACACTTTAGAGCTGGCCAATTCATTGATCACATGTTGCTAGTTGATCACTCTGTGCTTTTTAGCTATCATTAGCTATCACTGTCAGTTATTATTTCGTATTTTTCAGTACACTCACTGGTAAATCTTACCAGTAGCAAAAAGGAGTACCTTATATTCATATTAGAGTTGAGTCACCATGATATATATGTTTTTGGGAAAGGAATTGAGAAATTATAATCAAATTCAGTCAGAATTTTCTTAAATAGTTCCAAGTACATTGCAGAGTTTGAAATTGTAATAAATTTTTACTTGTCATTTAATTTCGTGGAACTAGTTTGTCTTTTTTTTGTCAATGAAGTTTTTAAGTACTAAAAGAAAGTGCTAGAAAATAATGATTTTAAATTATTAATGTAAGTTCATCTGTTAAATAATTTTTAAAGAACATTACCATATTTCTCATGTATTTTCCTTCCATTTTTGCTAATTTAATTGCCTGAAAATCGAGAAGGGAAATTTATGCAAATAATTTAATATCCGAAGGGTGTGTGTACAGTAAGAACATAACAAATGAAAAGTTGCCATGGATAAACTGCTGGTAATTATCGCAATATTATTTTTAAAAAAATAAACTCTATTTCAGTAAGAATAATAGTAATATTAGCATTACACTATCTAATAAGATATCTTCATTTATATTTTCCTGTAACTTGAATCTTGCCTGTTCTTATTGTTGTCTCTGCTACACTTTAAACCTCAGATCATCCATAAATAATTGGGAAAATTGTAGGTAGCTCAGCAAAATAGTAATGTGAAATTCAGTTAATGTTTGCTTTGCTGTGACTGGTCGGTTCTTGAATTAGGCTGGCATAAATAAGCTCAACAGTTAAAAGAGAAATGTTCAGCATGACCTTCGCAGGTAGTTTGTGGGTTTTGTCTTTGTTAGTTAGTGAGATTAAAAACAATCACTATGTGGATGAATTCATTTAAAAATTTAGGGAAGCTTATTCTTTGAACATGTTAAAAAACAGGGGAATTATGTGAATATTTTAAAAATTTTCAGAACTTGGTGCTAAAAGACTAGAGGAGCAAATACATGATGAAGAAAAGTACATGTGGTAATACGGTAAAATTTATACCTGACGAATATTTAATTAAAAGGCATGAACATATAAAAATAAAATTAAAATGCATAATTAACTTCATGAAACATTCATTATCAGAAAAGTATTTAATCTTTTTTTCCCTGAGGTTTGTACATAAAATTGTAAAAATGCTTATTTTTCAACAAGATTAAAAAAAAAAAAAAAGCATGTGCTGTTAACTTTACATTTAAGTCTTTACATTCTATGTTTGAGAATGCTATAAGTCTTCAAGAATTGAGATTTTATAAATAAAAAAATTTGTTGAGCAAAAGAATTTGTCTATTGAACACTTTTTTCCATAGCAGTTTTTATTTGATATGTTATACATCCATAGTTGTAGTTTCGGGATTGATTATATGTAATCAACTTCAGAATAAAAACTCTACCTTACATATATAGTTACTCTGTTTCACTCAGGTAAAAAAAAAAATAACGCTGCCTGAAATATGTAAGTTCAAAATTTTTGTATAATTTTCTTTTCAGGTGAAGAAGCTATGCTTGGTGATCAATCATACAGGTACATCTCAGCAGATGAATTAAAATCTTTAGGTGATGATTCATTGCCCATAGATGTAACAAAAGATGAAAAGCAACACGATGTAATGCAATCTGTTAAGCAGTTTGGTGGTAAGTGAATTTTACTGAATATGCAAATTAAGTATTCCAAATTTCAGTTTTACACTGTATTTGTAGCTTCAATATTTGCTCGTTAATGATTGCTAGGAAATGATCTGCATGGAGTATAAGTTTTTGTCATTTCTATGTAAATGATGCTGATAAGAAATATTTTAAAACTGTTTTCTTTAATTTCGATTTGGAATTTTACATAATACCTTGCAATAAATGTCTTTAAAAATAGGATGTTGTGTTTGTTTAACAATTATTGTTCAAATTAATTTTTGTTTCTTAATTTTTAGTTGTTTAATTAAACTAAAACATATTTTTTTGTAGAATTTACATGTCTAGATTTTATGCCTCTAAAATTCTAGAATTTTACTTTATTTCAAGAATATTATGTGATTAATAAAAAATTCTGATAATAAAATAAATTTTTTGTGAATCTAATAAATTTTATATTTTATATTTTATTTTTTGTTTCAAAAGATAACTGTTAAAGTATCATTTCAGCTCCTATGGTTGAGGAGGATAATCTTTCACCTCAACATGTTACTCCTGTGGAGAGTGGTTTTGTTGAGAAATTTTCCCCTGACAATATAGACTTGACTCGTGTTCCTGTACATGCTGGGTATGAGATATGTTTTAAAACTGCTCTAAAAAGCTAAGAAATTAAGCTCAGAAAAGCCTTTTTGAATTGTCTTTTCTATAGGAAAGTACTAAAAATTTTGTGTTGGGAAAGTTTTGTCTAATTTTTTTATTAAAATAGATGATAAAAACAATCACTAATTTACATATTGAATTTTTATATACAATATTTGTTTGACTATGAGGTAGTCTCATGTAAGACAGTTCTATATATGAAAAATGTGTTGTGAGAAAAACATTAATGTAAGACAGCATTCTGTATATGGGCTTCATATGCAAAAATGAATGTATAGAAAATATAATTGAGTGGTCTAAATTTGATATTATTAAGTAAAACTAAGTAAATGTTTGAAATAGAAAACTTTTCACTAAATAACATTCATTTATCACCTATATAAGATCTTTTGACGCATCTTAGAGATTCCTCAGACTACTTTACAAAAAGAAATACCAGCTCAAAATGTTCATTTCTTCTTTTTATAAACTACTTATAAGAAAATTAAGGAAGGCTGTATCACTATAGAATAAAGATTCAGAAAATGAAAAAAAAAAAAAAAAAAAAAAAAAGTAAATTTTAATTTTTTAAACTTTATTTTTAAAATATATTCTGATTTGGATACAGCTGTGGAAATTGTTTAAATAATTATTAAGCATATTGGTTCTGAAACCAAAAGCCAAGAAATTTATGATATTAGTTGAAAATCTTTGATGCAAATTTACGTCATTTTTTTAAAATGCTTTGAAAAAAAGTTGTTTAATGTTCACAAGATTCAACTATGATTCTCAGATAATATATTGATTGAAGAAAATGCAGAGTGTTTTCAATTTCAGTGGTATATTTCTGAATTAATTACAAAAATTTTGTGTGAATCGGGAATTATTGAGATAAGCTATAGAAAGATAACAATTTTTATGGTATTTATTATTATTAATCATTTAAAAGGACAAGTATCGTTCCTCACCCATTGCATGATATTTCAAATAGTAATTGAAAACTGCATGACATTTCAAAGTAATTTTAAAAAATTAGCATTGTGATTTAATATGATAAAAATTTTATAATCATTAAAATTGCCTGAGTATATGCATAAAACCAAAATTATTAATTTTGCTATCATAATATTTTTAAAATACACTGTTGCTGTTTTTTATTATGTAATAATTTTATGTTATTTGCTATGATATGTCTGTGTTGTAATACTAGCAATTTTATTTTTAAGCTTTTTTTTTTTTTTTTTTTGATAATATGTGCTGAATCACAAATAAAAAAATAATTAAATCTTGCTTTTTCTGTAGTTTTAACTCACAGTGCTTTTTATTGCTGAATATTTTAATATTTATTTTATATTACAACACTAGCAGTTTTAAAATTTTAAAGTCTTATTTATATATTTTGATAGCATGCACATTTTAAATGCCGTACATATTGATTTCATTTATGAATTATTTAAAATATTTATATTTAACTTCAGTTTTATTTATTCATTCAGAATGTCATTCACATTTAATTCTGGTTTCATTTATTAATTATTTAGAAGTTTTAGTTGGGATGATGATTACTACTATTCTTTTCATCCAAAAGGCATGTTGCGAAGCAGGTTGGCAATGCATTTTATAAAGATTTTTATTTTTTAATTTGCATGAATGATTTATTTTATTGCTTTTTTAATATCCCTGAACCAAAAAGTTATCCTAATTTTTATTTGAAATTGTATCTAAGTATGTTTAAAAATGCATTGTGTCTTGTTACATTTAACATATAACATTATAATTAAGACACAATAACACGCCGAATAAATACTAATTCAGAAGTCAAACAACAAAAATCAGCGTTATACCTACAAAATTTTCACAGGACTAGTTTCGATGGTTTTACCGAACCATCATCTTCAGCTGCAAAACCGCAAATGAACAAGATAATAAATAATGATTAGATAAGATAAGAAAGCCTGGACAAGAATAAGCAAGTGGCGCCATCTGTTGGCGAAACCAGAACTAAAACATAATTTCTCTAAAAGCCGAAGGCAAATTTGGATTGGAATTAGGATCGTTAACTAGAACAGAAAGATTTTTTTGAATGTGAAATGCCTCTAGAAAATCCAGTTCTCCAATGGAAGATGTTTTTTGAATAATTTTGGGAGCAGAAAAATTGAAAGTGTGATTTTCGGACCAACAATGTTGAGCAACAGAAGACTTCTGTGTTTCCTTTTTTCTAACATATGCCTCATGTAGAATATAAAACTGTGGCTGCCTTGTTTTAATTGAAAAGATTTAATTATTACAGAAACTGAACTATTTAATTTTTACAGGATAAAGCTATTTACATGAAAGAACTAATATATCAGATTGAAGTAAAGATCCTACTAAATTTTTGATGAGACAATTACAAAGTTTTTGTACTTAAACATTTCTAAAATTAAAATTATCCTCATAAGTAATCCTCATATTACATACTTATTATATATTATACAAAAGTGCAACTGAAAAAAAATTAAACAGATATCATTTTAATTTTAAGCAAGTGTATTTATATATTATGTGTGGTGCAAGAATGTAATAAAAAATAAGAATGTTGAAATTAATCTGTTCAGTGTCTTTGATTAAATATAATGTTATATTAATTCAGAAGTCAAACAACAAAAATCAGCGTTATACCTACAAAATTTTCACAGGACTATGACTTTTACTTATGAAGTAAAATGGACTTTTACTTATGAAGTAAAAGAGCACTTTCATATATGTTTTATCATTTTATCTTAATAAAATTTTTTTGCTCTTTTATTCATCCTGAATATTTTCTTCTGTAAAATTTAATCTCTTCCAAGAAGTAATTTTGTCTACTACTGAATGCAATGATAAAATTTCATGTATATATAACATATATGTAAGAAATTTTACTAATGTTTGTGTAAATATATTATATATAATATATTACTTAAATATTAATAAATACAGTAAAAATCAGTTCAAAAGGTAATCCACTTGCATACTGAAAGTGGTGGCAATAATGCAAAATAAATTAAAAGTTAATAATATGTTTGAAATTCATCACATATTCATTTTGAAATAAATAATACATGTGAAAATGGGGGGGGGGGACACAGAAAGGCACTCTGGCAAACTACAAAAAAAGTGAGGGTTACATGTCAAAACCAGAAATGAAATAAGAAATTATCTTTTCCTGCATGGTCATCAAGAGGTTGGTGACACAAAATAAGAAAATAAATCATAAAGTTTAAAACTTAAAATATTCTCAAAACAATTAAAACAATTTATCAATCCAGCCCCTACAGGCTGAAGTATAAAAAATTGCAAAATTATAATATTAAAAACATAAACAAATTTTAAAAACATTAGTATTTTGAGCAGACCGAGTCTAAGCAAAACAAAACATGCAAATATAAGCAATGCACTACGTGAAAAAATAAAAACATACCTTTAGGGCATATTTTGGTTCACTGATACTTTTTCAAAGATGAGTGGTGATTGTCATATATTTGAAATGAAATTGTAACTCTTCACTCTTTGTTCAATGCAATCTTGTGTCTTTACAGCAGTCATGGCCTCAGGCCAATTATAGTTACTCAGTCTGCTTAGAGACAGCATTCTTTGAAGTTTTATTGAAAACTAAGAATCTGGAACAATAAACATACATCAAGAAAAATCTTATATCATCTAGAATTTTCATATTCAAAAACTCTTGTCAAATTCTATTCCCCCCCCACACACACATGCATGCACACAAATACACAGTCTTTCTCTTTCTCTCTCTCTCTATGTATATATACACAATGTTATTAAATTATCAATCATTAAATTAAAATGAATCATTAGTTTGTTCTGTAACTATACTTTCACCTTGCAAATGATGTATTTAATTTGGCTTTATTGAATATTGATATTTAAGATCGCATGATTTTCTTTATTTACATTCATACAGATTTTTAGGTAAAAAAATCCCATAAAAGTAAGAACCCTTAAAACTGGAAATTAAATATATGTATAAATAGTTCTCTTTTTGAAAACTTGTATTTAAATGTTTTTTAATTTAGACATAATTTATTTATTAGAAAAAGATATTTAAATTTTAGTGATGTAAAATTTCTCACTGTAAATTTGATACTGCTTTATAGAAAATTTTATGACAATAAATTTAAAAGTGATATACAGATTAAGCATTTTACTGTAAAAAAAATCTGATGCTGACATCACATAACTTCCTTATATGGCTATTAAATTATACACATTTTTTCTGCATTTCATTCCAATTCATTTCCTCGAATTTCATTAGAGATATATATCTCATTCAGTTATTTCAATTTCCACTTCATGGCAACGCAATAATGCATAAAAACTAAAAACATCTTTATTAAAAATTGTAAAATACAGAAAAACATAAAACACCTAATACAGTTAAAACATATGAGAAAAAAACTTTTTTTGCAATTAAAATTAGAGTTTCTAAACAGAAACAAACAATTCGATCAGCAAGCAAGAAGGCAGATTTTTTGGTGCATAAAACTGAAAGTTAACTTGGCAAAAAGACATTAAAAGTGCAGAAACTGACTTAATTCACTATTCTTCTGAACTTCAAATGACAGTTCATTAGTCTTAGTTCGCCAATTAAGCTTTTAAATTGTTTGACAATTCTACAACTATTGCATGCAGATTAACTAAAGGCACAAAAATCTAAACGGGAACATAAGAACAACATGATTCAATCACTTTTAAAGCAAAAAATGCAGAATTTACTAAAATATAAGAATAAAAAAACTGAGGTAACAGAGTAACGAGAAAGGTAACAGAGTATATATATATATATATATACTTACTCTGTATATATATGTATATTAATATACTTTTGCTGCAACTGATTGCAACCAAAAAATGAGGTGCACAACTACATGCTCTAGCAGTTCCTATGTACAAAATTTTAACGTTCTGAGGCTACTCATTTTTGAGTTATGTGAGATACATGCATACATATGTATGTGCAGATGTTATGGAAAAAAAAACAAAAAAACTCTCTGGAATCCATTTTACAGTTCATTTGGGGAAGAAGAGTCCTTTATTCTGTCCCTATATACAAGTGTCATACAAAAACATTGCTCAAATTTATTCAAAAGCATCAATATTTTCAGTGAAATATGATATCCAAAACTTTTCACAGTTCCAATAATTCCTTTACTTCGTACAAGGAAGTAAAAATTATTGATAAATACCTTGTAGTACAAAGTAAAAATTTCTATTAAATTTAATGTTTTGAATTTTTGTATTTATCATGCAATTTTAATGTAGCTCATATTGAGTAAAGAAACACCTTCTGTGTAAGTAAAAGAAATATGAGAAATAATTTATGAATTACTTAAAACAAGAACAATTTTTAGAAAACTAAATTACATACACAGGTTTACTTTTTTTAAAGTATCTTTTTAAAGAAAAGGCAAACTTTTACAGCCTGTTTCTCTGTATTTGCTTCTCATTTTGCATGAAAGCTTACACTTTCCTGATTTTCTCTGATTATATTTCTGTAAAATAAATGTAGCTTAATTGTGACTCTTATTCACTCGATCAAAATTAGATTAAAATTATTTTTTTGTAAACATATTTAAGCTTCAGCAGAGAATTGTGTTTAAAAAAGAGAAGTTGTGAGAGATTTTTGTCTGTGTCTGTAGATGAGTAGTAAATTAAAATCTGATATACCTTTAGATTTTTTTTAGATAATTGTTTTTAATAATACAAAATTTTTTACTTTTTCATGAGAAGTAATAATTTAAAACAAAGTTTTCTGTGGTTTGGTGCCTGTGTAAAATATATATTTTTATACACAAAGTAAAAAATTAAAGTAAATTTGAAAAAACGATTTTACTACTGAATCATTAATTTTATTCTGTTCATTTACTAATTGCATCTTGTTTGGTTTGTTATTAATATTTTCACTGAGATATGTACTTGATCTGTTATTTAACATACACTAACATATGTGTTCTTTCATTTCTTGCACATTGGTTTAATATATTTACTTTTCCTTTTTTCTAACTCTTGCATGGACATATACAGCAGGCTAAAATGGAAAACGTAAGTCAACATTTGTTTAATGTGTTACACTTTTCAGATCATTGAAACTTTACATTAATACATTAAAGTGAAGTGAATTTGTTCAGTTTAATTATATATGAATTTCCAAATATGTATCAAATATCTGAAATAGTCAGTACATTTTTAGGTTCTTTTAAAACCTTGAAATAAAAATTTTTTCAAGTACAAATTTTTAAATGTTAGCCAAAAATATCCTTAATTATGTTTAGTTGATTTTTTTATGTTTTTGTAATAAAAGTTTAATTAATTAATGAGCAAGAATTTTTACACTTGATATTTTATGAATTTCTATTTGTCAGTTATTCTGTTATGTATAAAGTGTTTTAATTGAATATTTATGTGCTAAATTATGATAAGTTTATTTCATTTTAATGTGCTTAATAATTTTAAATTTTTTGTTTGAAACTTTTGTTTATATTTCTGTTTTCTTTTATGTTTATTTTGACTGAAATGATTTTAAAGTATTATAGAAATCATTCTCTCACATTTCACAATACATGTCAAAAAATTATTTTTTAAAAAGGACCTTGTGTTTCAGGAATGTGCAGATCAAGTTATATGTATAATCTGCAAAAAAATTAATTATCATCTGTGTCATTTTTAATTTGTATGTTTTACAAAAAACAAATAAATAAGAGAAATAATTTTTCTAGATTATTGGTAATGAATGAAATTTTTCAATACATTCTTTTTCTTGCTTTTCCCTTTGTTTTCTCTTTCTTTTTGTTGCATAATGCATAAAAAGTATTCATAATGTATGTGCTTGAATGTGGTTTGATAAATGAGTGAAGAATACAAAATAATTTAATGAGATGTTATGGAATTATGCTATTGTCATGGTAAAATTTATCATGCAGTTGTAACAAGCAAATATTGTATTACTAATATATTCTAAAAAATAAATAAATGAAAAAAAATAAAGAAAAGGGAATAAAAACTATTAGTAGTTCATTAATTCAGTCTTGTGTGGTACAACTGGAAACACTTTTCCAAGCACAAACCAACTCCACAATCACTACACCAGAATCGTGGTTCCTTCCTTATCTTTTTCCCATTTTTATCCTTTTTTCGAACAACACACTTTGCACTGTCTTGCAGGCTCACGTTTCAAAGGAGTAGGAGGAATATGGGATATAAAATGGCATTCAGTAAGACAGGAAGGGTTATCTATTGTAGGTGGTCTGCCAACATTCTTTTGTCCAGAAGCTGCATCATCATATTTATGTAAAAGCTCTTCTACAACTTAGATTCGAAATTCTAAAAATATAATACGTTTTTCAACTACATTTTTCTAGAGCAAATATGAGTTCCAGAGTACCTTGTCTAGTAAATGTAAAAATATCTTTTTATAATATTTTTTCTGATGTTTTCGGATTGTTGGATGAAAGGATATTTCCTGATCACAGCAATCTACGCCACCCATAGTTAGATTGTAGTCAGAAAGAATCTTTGGCTTGAGTGTATCATTTTTTTTTTTTTTATTATTTTTTTTATATTTGAGGCTGACCATGGAAGTATCATGAATACTGCTCATCAAACACACATATTTTCTTATCTTTCCACCTTATAGCCAAAATCTTAACTCTTTGAAAAGCTATGATTTGACCTTTTTGTAATTTTCTTTTAGCGAATTCTGTAGGTAAATCTCGTCTGTTTATCCTTACTGTGCCATAAATATCTGTTTTTTGGGCTACAAGTAAATCTGCAAGCTCGGGTGACATGTAATAGTTATCTACAGTCACACAATAACCATTTCCAAGAAAGCGATGCAATAGGTGCATGACGACTTTTGTAGAAAGTCCATAATTTGTATACAATTGATTGAAGACAGTACTATTTCCTGTATAGATAATAAAGTCACAAATATACCCTGTTTCCACCTCACAAAGCATAAAAAATTTGATTCCAAATCGTGCACGTTTGATAGGAATATATTGTTTCCAAGATAACCTTCCTCTATAAAGCATCAAGCTTTCATCAACCGATACATCACTTTTCGGTATGTTAAAATTACAAAATTTTTCCCGTAAATTTTCTATCACATTATACAGCTTCCAAAGTTTTGGATTTGGAAAATCATTTTTTTTTTCAAGCTTCATTATTGCAAAAATGTAAATATCAAAAAAGCAAAATAAAACGATTTACGGGCATTATTGAGTAAACTGGAGTATGCAAAATCCTTCGATGAGACCAGTACATAGCCTGATTTTGTTTTCGGACAATACCTTGAAGAATTATTAGCCCAAAAAATTGCTTCATTTCTCTGTCATTTGTAGGGATCCCATTTTTTACTGCAGGAGCACCTTGATATCTTTGCCCAATTTGCTTTTCTTTCTTGTTCTGTATCGTTGTTCGTTCCTTTGACAATTATTTCCATTAGATTTGAATCCAGAAACATTTCTAAAATATCTAAAGGAGCGTAGTTTATATTTACAGGAAGAGTTACACCTGGAGTACCTATAAAAAGGAACCACGGGGGACCTAATCGGCCAGAAGCAGTTATTTCACAAGAGTGTCTTGTATTTCCTATATCATCATCGCAGCTATCCGTTGATTCAATGCTACTTTCAATGTCACTCTCCTCAGTTTCACCTGAGTCACTAGTATCGATACCTTCAAAATCTTCATCTTCGGTTGAAGAATATAAATCATCTATATAACGTTTCAAAGAACTGGACACCATTTTATAACAAAAAGATCCCGCGCACTTTGAACCAAAGAACTTCTAACCTCTAACCTTTGAAATCTTCAGTAAAGTGCTGCCATCTACTGAATTAAGCGCACATTAAATTTTCCCGAGATACAGTCGGGTTTGACAAAGAGATGAAGCCAAAATAAACGTCTCCTGATATATATTCGGGTGTAACAATACGATGCACTCAAGAAAAAAATTACCCCGAGTAATTCTCGGATGTGACATTTTCGAACACCAGTGCTGCTCGGGCATGACAGTTAAAAGGTTAATGTAGTGTAGGTGAAATATATGCCCTGAACTGTTAATTTTAAATGGAATATATATATATATATGTTAGTTAATTTTAAATGGAATATATATATATATATATATGTCATAATTTTCTTCTCAAATTCAGTATCATTAGTTCTGTTATTAATTTAAAATGTTGTAATGATTTTACAGGTTTCTTGTAAGTTTCATGGTTGATGCACGAGGTGGTGCTATGCGCGGCTGTCGACATTCAGGTGTGAGAGTCATCATACCACCTCGTAAAGCATCTATGCCCATGCGAATAACTTGCCGCTATCTTAGAAAAGAAAAGTTAATCCATCCACCACCCTTAATGGAAGGTGAAGCGTGTGCATCACGTATACTTGAAATGGGACCAGTTGGGGCTAGATTTCTCGGGTGAGCTTCATAAGTAAAAATTATGTTCTTGCTTCTAATAATGTAAATTTTAATTTTTGTTTTTAATTGTCCGGAGTAGTGTTAAGCATAATTTTGTTTTAAACTTCAGTATAAATATATATTGCATAATTTGTTAACTGTATATTTATTTATGTCAAATCTGGCAAGCCTTGGGATGTTCAGAAATTTTTCACTTTCATCTTGCTAAAGCTAGTACAGAATGGAATATTTTTGTTATTAATATTAATTTTTTTACAAGTTTGTTGCTTTAATTAATATGATTTAGAACTTATTTAGTATTAATTTTGTTAAGGTATTATTTATTCATTAATTCACTTATAAATTTCCATAAATGTTTAAGTGCTTGAAACCATTGAATACTTGTAATGAGCAGATGTAGTACAATGTATTAAAAGGAAAGATCGATGAAATCAAAATCATCCTTATTAAAATTCAATAGTTTAGTACCTAATTCATTAAAAATAATTAATTATTAATTTGATGTAATATAGTTTTTAAATCTTAATTCAATAAACAACAATTAATAATATTTCACTACTTTTGGAAATTAAATTGGTGTTTTAACTTAGAAATTAATTTAATTAGTTCATAATTATTTTTACTCTATTTTAAACTATTTGAGCCACTCTTTTTTCAGTAAATTGATTATAAATCTTTAAAGAGTATTTTATTATGTATAAGTAAATAAATATGTATTTACATAATTTTTCCTTTACCTTCATGTTATCAACACAGGCATTTTGTCGTCTTTCCCTTCAAGCTCAAGGTTAAATCCTATATATAGTTTTGCATCCCAGAAAATGTTCTGCTTTAAGACAGCTTGTAAATGCTTTTCCATATTTTTATTATTCTAAAATATCACATACCAAAGTATTTTTTTATTAAAAAAAAGATTATTAAATGTACTTCAAATCATGACCCAGGAAATAGTATTAATCATGTCCATTACACAGTCTTCAAAACAAAGGATGTTTATTTTCTAATTATATTTGATTTTTGTAGATGCTGAAATAAGAAAGTGGTCATATTGTATTTACTTTAATTGCAGTATTCAGTTTTAATATCAGTATTGTAAATTGTATTTTAATATCAGTATTGTAAATCTACCTAAATGCAGAACTAAATCAATAAAAAAAATTAGTATGTAAATATTTTAAACTTTACTGTAATGCATCCTCCTAAAAAACATATATACTGTTAATAGATTTTCCTTTTTAAAATCAAGCAGTAATTTTATGGATGCTGTAGTTATAGTACAATTTATGAAGACTTTATTAGCAGATATTCTTTTTCACTCTTTTATATCTTCATATTCTAAGCTCTCTAAGCTAAGCATGCAATTTAAAGTTTTTTAAAAAATTTTTTTTTAAAGTTTACAGTGTATTAGTTACATAAATAATCTATCTTGCCATGACATTCAGTCATTCATATTACAGTGTATTAGTTGCATAAATAATCTCTTTTGCCATGACATTCAGTCTTTCATATTTAATTATTTTTATATATGACACATGTGTGTATATATAAGTAAAAAGAATTCATGTTAAACTAATGATTCTTGAATTTATTTAACAGACCAGTTATTATCGAAGTACCTCATTTTGCATCTACAAGAGGAAAAGAAAGAGAAATTACAATATTGAGAAGTGATACGGGAGAAAACTGGAGAGAGCACACACTAGAAGCATCTGAAGAAGCCGTTCAAGACGTTTTAAATGAAAGTTTTGAAGGAGAAGGTAATATTTTATTTTGAACCTGTTTTGCCATTTTATGTCTTATTATTTTATTCATAGCTATGTGTAGTTAACAGCAAGTTTGAAAATGAATAAGTTTTATTTTCTGTTTAAGGCAATTCTACCCCCTATCTTTCTTGTGTTGAGTTCATTTATAAAAAATTATATTTTCCAATCTTGACAACTGATAATTCAAAACTTTTTATTATATTATAAATTACAACTCTATGCAGTAATTAAAATGATCAGTTATGTATTAATTTTTGTTATTAAATTAAATCAAATATACTTATATTGATTAGACATTTTTTTGGCTTTTCTAATTAATTGCTTCTACAAAAATACGGTAATTATTGTTTCAATTTAGGACTTATTATATACATTACATGAATGTATTATGTCATGTTAATGTGCCAATAAGTCCCTTGAAATATGTTAATAAAATTTTCGAGCTTAAGTGCACATTTTATATCATTTAAAAGGTTGTTGATAAATTTCCTTTATGTATTTGCTATAGAGATATTTATGCATTTTATTTTGAGATCTTTGTAACAAATTGTGAACAACTAAAATTTTAGTCTGTTCTTTCCTTTAGAAAGGTACTTTATACTATAGTCACAGTTAATTTTGTATAGAGACAAATGATGCTAAAATGTAAATACCTATAGTAATATTCAACTTACTCCTTTCCATCTGGTTTGAGAATGAGAAAGTGAATTTCATTCTCGTTACAACAAGAACAGTAGCCATTGCTAACTTCAGTAGCGATAAAACTATAAACTTTCAGAAAATTTTTCTAGCAGGATTTCTCTTTTGCATAGGTTATAAATTTGGAAGTTGGGTTTAATCAGACTGAGTATAATCACTTTAGACTTGGCTTGCCAAGCATAGGTTTAAAATAAATTAGAAGACTGTTAATATAATATTCATAAATTCATTCAGTTAATTGTGTTATGAATCAAAATTTTGAGAGAATTACAACACTTAAATTTTTAGCATCATAAATTTATGTAAACTGAGAATCTTCACACTTTTATGCATTGCATCACAAATTATTTAAAATGCAGTTTTTATTCAAGCAATACATATTTAAGGATGTCTGAAAGTTAGAAATCTTTAAAAATTTTTCAGTGTTAGCTTTTATGCATATTAGGTAGAAACTAATTTCTGATTCTGTGTAACTTAACAGAACTGAGTGCTCTTGAGGACCTTAACACCAATAGAATCACAAGAATCCTGACAACAGATTTCCCCCAGTATTTTGCCATTGTCACAAGAGTTCGCCAAGAAGTGCATGGAGTTGGTCCCGAAGGTGGAATGGTTAGCTCTACTGTTGTGCCTCAAGTCCAAGCGATCTTTCCAGAAGGAGCTTTGACTAAAAAAATTCGAGTTGGGCTTCAGGTAAATAACAATTCCCCTGGTTGTGACTCTGATGTAATAGAGAATTTTCAGGGGGATGAAGTACATGCTAATCATAAACCAGTTTTGAAATCTTGTTTGAAGCACAAATCAGAACTTAAAAGCATAAATAATAGTCCAACGCCATCTGTAAGCAGAAAAACTGCTTCTTCCAAAGAAAAGGTAAAACCTTTCAAAAATAAGCGCAGATGGTTGTCCAGAGTTGTACAGTTGCTTTGGCCAAAATTAGATGTTTTTTCTGCCATGTGAAAGATATTTATAATACCATCTGTTAACTGTTTGAAGCTTTGAATCTTCATAAGCAAGTTTTGCATTATATGTTCTTTAAGGTGATGTTACTTTTGTATCTTTCCAATATATATTTAATATACTCATAGTCTGAAAATCAAAGCAATCAAGAGCTAGACACTTTTTACTAATGTGTAAAGCATTAGAAAATGCTGAAATTTTCATTTGCTGAAATTTTATTTACTAATCAGTGTGGAATCACTTTGTTAACAATCATATCACTTGAAATAGGTTTTATATTCTTGTTATAACTTCTAAATTTACCTTGTATATACTAAAAATAAGATTTTAATTTCTTTACTCTGTCTCAGTGGTTGAAAATATATAGATATTTTTTATTTGTTTTTCATAAGTTGACCCTGAATAAATAGATCAAATTCATCTAAAGAAGTAGCCAAATAGTGCAAAAAAAAATTTTTTTTTAATGTATGCATATGTAAAGACATACTTAAATTGTTACCTAATTGTATCTATCTGAAATTAGCATCCAAATCCCTTTAATTAAGTGTTCGGCATCAAATAAGCTTTTACTTATTTTATGTAATTCAATCTCAGGATCATTTTTATTTGAAAGATTGATTAAATTATAAGTGCTTACTAATGGAAATCTTCAAAAAATTTTACTTTGTTATGAAGCAAGAGCTTTTTCAGATCTAAAAATAAACAGTATTACAAATCCTGCAATAAGGGACAGCTAGATTAATCTGCTTCCATTTGACTACAGAGATGCAGAAAAAAAGGAAATTACATATGCTGACTCATTATTATCTTTTGCACAAAGTAATGATACTGTAGTAATTATTAAATAGATTTTTAGTATATTATAGTACAAGTAATTTAGTTTATTATTAAAGTAACCTAATCACAATAAATTTAGAATATATTAATAGAAAAGTAAGTAATTTTTTAGAGGATTTTTAGAGCAAATTGAATTATGTATAAAATTTAATCCTGAGAAAGTACCAATGTGCTGTAACTAATTTTTGAAGAATTTACCAGTTTAGATTTGCAACAGTAGAAAATGTAAAATTATGAAATTTTTGTTTGAAGGAAAGTGAAATTTGTTAATATATGTCATTTATATATATTATGTTGCACCAGAAATAAATTCCTGTAAAATGCAAATGAATATTATATACTATTGTTGTAGATGTTGCTTTTCTTTGTCATATTTTTCTCATTGTAAAAATATCATTGTGTAGGTAATGAACTATTATTGTGATATGGTAAGTACAAATCACATATTAGCTAAGCATAATAATTCATCATATATTGACTTGTTTCACATCATTATCATTCCTATATATAGTACACGGTTATGTAAGATTAATCAGTATTGCTAGTTGCAGTATGACTTTGCCAGCCAGTTAATATTATAATGCTGGTTATAATTGTACCTATATACATTTTTTTTTGGAGAGGGAGCTTAAAAATTGTAATTGCATAACATTAACAAAAATGTAAAATGTCTTACAAATTAGTTATTTTTCCTCTTTGTAGTGATAGTTTTCATGGGCAACAACATATGTTTTTCTATTCGTGTTGCAGTTTGTGAAAATGATAAGCTGTGAGTTTCCTGAAACTGGTATTCTGTAAATAAACATTCATATATCAATATAGAATAATTATATGTTAATTTATAAGGGTGATATTAATCTTTAAATAGTTTAATTTAATTTATAAGTGCATTGTTAATTATTATTGAAAAAAATATTTAGTTATAATTTCATCAGTATTATTGATCATTTTTATCATTTAATAATTATTTAGTTATTGTTTAATTAATATTTATTCATTCAGAATCACAATTCATTTATTATTTAATCTATTTTTGGTTTAATATTTTTTATTATTTAATTTTAATTTATGTTTTTATAATTATTTACTTGAATGTATTTATTTATTTCATTGTTTAAGCACTATGTACTTATATCAGGAAATAAAATTTTTAAAAAGTATTACTTTTACAACCTTTTACTTAACTAGTATTTAACATGCATTCAGCCTAAAACTGTGTTTAAAAGTATTAAAACAAGATAAGCTTAAAAATTTCTTTTCTGGGAACTTGTATCAGAAGTTCCACGAGTTCTACAAAATGTGCAGTGTATGCATGAAAGTGAGCTTTGTTAAAATAAATAGATGGTCCACTGCAGGTAACTAATGTTGATGAATTCACTGCCGAAAGGAATGAATACCAAAAATAAATAAATAAAAATAAAATAACTATTTTCTCTGCCAAGTCAGCTTAGAAGTGACAGATTGTGTAAAATAATGTGCTGTAAATACTTAATTCTTTAATGTTGCTTCTGACCCATTTGAAAAAGCAGTTTTATCAGCATGAGTTTCAAAGTGATGAGAATGGTTATATTGTTTTTAGATATTTCATACACAGAAAAATTTTATACGAAGAAAACAAAATCACTTTCTCTGTCTCTCTCTCTTTTTTTTTATATGTATTTTATCCTTTTACATTTATACTGAAATATCTACCTCTTACTGGGATTTTCTTCATATTTTCTTAAACTCCCATAGATATGATTATTATCAAAAATGTCAAAACTATATTAGAAAGATCCAAATTATGCAATGTAAAATATCTATTATGAAGGCTGAATTAATTTTTCAGTTTTGCTTAGATCAGCAAGTATATTAGAAATATTTTTATAATGTATCTATAAGATGAAAAGTTGTATGTTATGTTTAATCCATAATATTTTACTATTGTAAATTAACATAATGATTTTATTTTCAAAAATGTCATCTCTTTATTTTTATAAAATGAATGAACCGAAAATATATGAGTAAAAAATTCATATTTATAAATTTATTGCATTAAGTTACTCATTTTGGTAGAAAATATCAAAGCAGAACTTAAGTTTTACTGCATAGAAGCATTTGAAAGTGCCAAAGAATATTGACAAATCAGTAAACTCGAATCTTTTCATTTTAAATCAGTGCCAAAAAGAGTTTAATTTTGACAGTTATTAATATTTAAGTAACTTGAATCTTTTCATTTTAAATCAGTGCCAAAAAATTTTTATTTTGACAATTATTAATATTTAAGTTGTTGTGCAACTCTTGCATTTATGAACAGAACAACAGTTAGAAATTAAAATAACTCCAATATAAATTTTAGCCTAAACATTCATATTCCTGAATATGCTTAACCAGCATTTAGAGAAAGACTTCAAAGCCTTAAAAGGAGTTTTGCAGCATCTATATTCATTAATTAGCTGTTGTATAATTTACATATTGAATGAAAAAATATTCTTAATGTAAATTAGATTATTCTTAATGTAGAATTTTTTATTCAGCTCTATAATAAGTCATTTTACTTTCTTTTTTTATTACTGAAGTCTGTCTTTAAAAGTTTAGCCCAGTCATTTAAAACCTCATTATATGTATAGAATCTTTATTTAATAAAGCATAATTTAGTCATAAAAAATAGTCTTAATACAAAAGTGCCCCCCTTTCCCAAAACGAAAGTCATCTGTCTACTCTATTACTTTTGTTTGCATATTTGGGTTTTGATTTATGTGTTAAAAATAATGTAATACAGAAATATATTGTAGCCAGTGAAATTACTGTAAACTAAAATTTAATTTTTTAATAATCCATTTATTTAACTATCTACCACAATAAAAAGAAATTTAAGTTTAAAAGGCTTAATTTCAATGTGCCCTTTTTTTTCTTTTGGTCTAACATTTGATTTAGATTTATTCATATTATTTTTTTCTACATTGTAAGCACAACTGTGATGAAAATTTACTTGTATGTTTGTAGAAAGTATGTATATATATCAAGAGGGGTTTTCTATAGATTATGCTGTTAATGAATATAAAAAACTTTTAAATAATGTGCTGATCTTTAATCACTGTGTTACATGGTGTTTGCAATTTACATGCTATAACTATGAAGTTTTTTGTTATGAGTATGTTTTATTGAATAGCTGTTTGGTACTTAGAAGCGACTATTTTGCATTTTAATGTAGTATAAATTGCTAAATTAAGATACAATCAAGGTTTATGTGATTTGTAAATAAGTATCTTTTTTAAAAATGTATAATTTTAAGATCCATTTTGACTCTTGCTTAAAATAGAATAGGGAAGTCTCTGAAAATTAGAAATCTTTAGTAAGTTTATATGTTTTTTATGTTTATGTTAAAAGACTAATGTTAAATGTAATTTCCTTAGAGAAGTGTTATTAAAAGAGTACCCCCAAAATCATATCTGATAATGGGTATGCATCTCAGAAGCACTTTAATATTATGTTTAGATGTACAAGGATCTGTGGAAAAAATTCTTTTATTTCTTTCTGACCTATTTTAATTAATTTAAGCATCAAATTATATTTTTAATCGATACATTCTAGAATAATTCATAATTCAGTTTCTTTTTTTACCATTATGTGACAAAGGATTAATGCACATTTTAAATGACTGATTTCTTTGGCTCCTTTTAATTTTTTTTAAAGGTGTGATTTTTAGTTTATTATTTATTATTATTTTAAATTTTGAGAATATAATAATTTCTATGATGAGTTTATTGAGTATGATAGTATATTTTTTGCTTGAAAGTTACACTTTTCAGTTATGAATAATGCATAGCATAACTTAACTTTTCTCATTTAAAATATTTTTCTTTTTATTTAAGATTCATAGATCTTTATGTATTTATATGATTGAAGCAATTGTT